GGACCACATGGCACGGGCAGAAAATGGCCGCGGACCACGTGGCACGGGCGGAAAATGGCTCGTACCCCGAGGCGGAGGTCGCAAAACGAGGTAAAATTTTGGGGCCAGAGCTGGTCCTAACCCGAAAAATTCGCAAGCAGAGGCGTTCGTATCCCGAGGTATCACTGTATACTGAAATCTGGACAGGAGAAGTCTGATGAAGTTCACAACTGTTTATTTTTAGTTGGTTGTTGAACTCCTAATCAGTATGTTATTTATCTTTAGTTTTAGTACAGGTCACCCTTAAACACTTCTGTCTTCATGTATATCCTAATGATAAGGGCAGAGCAATGTCATACACATATCTTTGAAATAACCCTCTAATACACTCCCACCATCTCCACTCATTTAACTGCATGCATTCTTATGTGATCGTGTTCCACCCAACTCCTTACTGATGCATTCTCTGTTGGTATCAGCCTTCCAAGCCTGCTGTAAGCATTTGTCCTTTAACATCTGAAGCATCTTCTTCTTCCTTTCTGTTGACTGGGTTTTCATGCTGAGCATTCTCCTTTCCCATTATCTAATCAAGAGAAAATTTCCTATGAGGCTGAATCTAGCACCATATTTCCCAAATGGCTGTTTGCTGTACCACACTGGCGCTTGCTCCTCTCTTTGAGACATCCTAGAATTTGTGGTTTGTAATGTCTTAATAATGGGCAGATTAACCATTTTTTTGGTATTTATTTTTTGTCTTTAAAGGTATATCTGTTTTAAATAAGACGAAATGGAAAGGTGGGACGCTACAAATCGAATTAGCAAAAGAGAGCTTTTTACACAGGTAGTACTTAGCATATTGTATACAGTTTCTGGTGAAAACCATTGAGTTCTGCATACATGTGAACAAATATATAGATTTTCACAGAAAGATATAATTTCATCTGTATAAATAAATCAGAGTGGAATCCAATTATATGTTTCCATTAGTGGCAGGAAACAGGATGGAGGCAGGTCACTCCCAGCCATCCTACATTCATCTCAAGATGTATTCTTGAGTATCCCTCAGTCCTTTGGAACAGATTTGGAGGGATCACATAGAACTGAAGAATGGAAGAGGAGACCTGCTTCTCTAGTTAAAGTTCTCAGTGTGGTATTAGATTCTACAATGGATTTTAACAAAAGTTTAGAAAAATATAGTGGATGCTATATGAGTGGCATCGGAGATATTTAGTGTGAGAATTACTTCTCACACAGGCAGTGAAAAAAACAATAGCAGATCTGTCTGCTGCAAAACAAAGGACTGATGCAGAGTCTAGCCTGCTCAAAACTGGGTGTCAATCAGCCAGTTACACAGAGTGGGAAAGAGAAGGAGGTGACAGGTGAATATTGCTACTCTCTGTAGAACTTGTTTGTGAAACGTAGCAGTTGCTGAAATTCTTTGGTTTTAACTTACTAATTATGTATAGGAAATTCTTGGATTTCTTGTGAGCTTGCCTAACTGGAACCACTAAGCTGGGTAAAACCTGACAGTTTGTAACATAGACTGGGATCATTAATTTGTGTGGAAGGAAGGAATTTGCATGAAATGAAGCTTGCAAGATTACAATAGAAAGAAGAGTCCATGTGCAAAATACAGTTAATAGGAAATTATTTACTTTGAATTGAGAATAAGTGATCTTTCTGCTTTCCACTTGCAGAATTAAACTCGCACTTCGGTCCCAAAGAAATCCATCTATTTTTAGGAACCTCATTTAGAGGATGGGTGATGGGAGAAAACTTGATTGTGA